CCAAAGGATTAATTTCAACATCTTAATCAGATTCTAAATGCTGATCATCGTTTAAAGCCACATATATTATCTGATTCTGATCATAATATTTTATTCTCCAATCTGATCTTCCAAATATCTGATTTAATATCTGCTCACCTTTCTGTCCACGAAACAAATACTTATAAACATCTGTTGTTTTTGAATAAAAATGAATATAGTTTCTAAAAATCATATAAAATTGATTTTTACTATATGCAACAGAAACAGTCTTCTTTTTAGCATTTTTAAACCTGTTAGGTAATTGATGGTGAATAAAATATACCAAATCATTTTTAAATACTTCTGAAAGACGTTTTGATACTATTTGTAATTTTTCTTGAATACTATATTTGCGTATAATAGTATTATATCATAATAATCCTGCTTTATTTTTAAATGTCTTTTGACATATATCACACTCATATTTATCAGTATTTGTAAGTAAAGGCATATCCAAAGGCATTACTGCAAAAATTAAAAAAGATTACTTTCACTTTTTATTTATATTTTGTATTGCAAATTTAAATATAATAAACTATATATTTTTATAAAAAAACTCAATTTATATACCTATAGTATAGTCTCATAGGTTTTGAGATCGGCTCATGGGTTTGACGTGAGATAACTATAAAATTTAAGGTGGAGCATAAAATTTGACACTAATAAAACATTAATCATATGATTGAAATTTTTCTGCAGATCTGCCCATATGATTACTTTTGGTAATGCACAAAGGTAAAATATTATAAGAAAAGAGATAAAAAAAATTGTGTTTTTATATATCATTAAAAAAAGAAAGATCAAATAGTAGAATTTAAATATCAAAAAAAGTGATACGCAAAGGCAGAATATTTTTATTCAAGTATTGTTAAGTTTGAAGACTTGCGACTTAATGCCTCATGGAACCTCTTATATTAGAGAGTATATTCTAACTATATCTGCACCTTTTAAGCATCTAATTAAGTAGTTTGTCTATTACTAAACTCTATACTAGGTGTCATATCTGTAACCCAACTATGAGATTACTTATTTAAACCCTCTATAATGCAACTCTATCTGTATTATCAGTATATCCCCATTATATCAGTCGGTCAAGAAGTCCCGGATGCTTAACCTATTCTCTATAGGACTACTTTATCCTTGAGGCATTGTTACTAGAGCCGCCTATTATCT